GCTCTTCCTGCCGCTCCTCCTCCCGCTCCTTCTCCCGCAACTCCTCCCGCGCCTCCTCCACCCCTTCCCGTTTCCCCTCACGCTCCTTCTCCTGCTCGTAACCCCCTCCCCGTTGTCGAGCGCATCGGTCCCGCACGGGGACCCTTCCGGCCGCGTCACGCAGGATTTGGCAGGACTTGTCGCGGAGAGCGTTTGCCGCTCCGGCCGAGTGCGCCAGCCGTACCTCTCGCGAGCCCCTACGACAGGACAGGGTCACACGAGGCACTGCTTCTCTCCACCTGCGGGAGCTGTCACCATCCCTTAGGTGGGCGTATCCCCGCCGAGGTACTGAACCACATGCGAAAGCTTTTCGTATACAATTGCAGAGGTGGCCCAGCCGAGGGCGTTTCTCGCTCGCTGTAGCATAAGGGGTACGCGCGGTCGAACGCCCGAAATCGGACCCGTACGTGAATAGACGCACTGGGGGGCTAAAGTCCCAAACACGATCCGACGTCGGTCGACTAGGATGCGCCACACACACCACGCGTTATGCCACAATACTCACACTTACCAACACATAACACGTGAGAACACACCACACACAACACCACAACGCAACAAACTCCTAGTCCCTTCAGTATCCGACCCATAACTCTTTGCAGTCAGACTCAGATAGGTATCACGCGTTGGGCTTTCGTATAAAAGTCGAACGAGCGCACGGCCTTCTCATGTTAACCAGCCATGCGGATATACGCAATCATTCGCGTTGATGGGGTACAACGTGGTACCCAGGTCCAGGTGGCCCTCAGAGGTTTTGAGGGTCCCTTTCGACACTCAAGTGTCGGCTGACTCGCGCTTCAAGGGTTAATCTCTCTGCGCTAGACAACCGCCATGCGCTGTTGAAGACCACACCCTCTTCTGCACCCTGTGGAGAGGGGTTGAGTAGACAACTTTAGAGCTGTCGTAGTAGCCAAAGATCAGGGGGCTTGACTTTGAAGGCTGCCACAGACTCCAACGTCCAACTATATAAATTCTAAAAAGCAAAAGGACAAAAAGGGGGATCTCCCTTTTCTCTCAACGCATAACCTGTTTAACCCTTGCACACGGTCACAATAGGTCGTGCGAACACCCAACACATATGTATGTACATATATACAGAAGGTTATAAATGTGTGACGATCACTTCTCACAATCACAGTGGGACTCCTCTCAGCCATATATACATAAGTGTTCGTAGGCAGTCAAATCCAAAGTCCGAATCACCAAACATACCTGCAATCACATCAAAGATTCCACCAAAAGTCCATGCACTACACAGAGTCCACTTCAACCATTCTTTGCACTCACATCCTTTTGCCTTAACCTTACAAACCCTAAACTTTGTCCAACCTCCCAAAATAAAATACTCAGTCCTTTTTAAATGGCCATTCAATGAAGTCCGGGTAAAAACTCAAAAGAAACATTTCAATCCACAGGGCTAAGGCCTTTAGGTTGAGTAGCGAGAATGAATTAGAGTTGAGTCAGAAACCGACCTGTTATCAAAAGATAACAGAAGATGATCTTTGTACGATCAGCTTGAAACTAGTCAAGCCTTGAATCAATCTGAATAAAGGTGACCTGCAATGCAGCATAGGCCAGTACCCAAGCCATGCTTGAGAGATCAAGAAATAATCCTACCTTTCTAACTAACCTCTGATATATATCTAAAAATACAGGGAATTTCGGCAACATATCCCCTAAACAGGATGGATTGCCAGATCTTTCCTAGCTGAAAATACTCTAACTCTCTAAATTCTGCAAAATTTCGGCAGCGCTTCCTGTAGGAAAAAATGCCTTCCCAGAATTTCTACGAGTCCAAAAATGACTAACTCTTTCGGATTTGTAGAAATTTCGGCAACACTTCCCGTAGGAAAAGTGGGCTACCAAGATTTATACAAAGCTGACAACAAAAATGCAAGACAAAACTACACCTGGGACTAACTTCTGACACCTGCTTGATAACTTAGGCTCCATATTAGTCTGCATGCCCTCTGAGTGAGACCATGAGCCAATGCTGATCCTAACCCTCAGCACAGTCGGTCCTATCTCATCCCAAGCTTCCCTCCCATCATCCATCTTACCTACCTATGGCTCCAGCACTTGGCGAGCATCTACAGCAACTACTCTATCAAAGAGAATACCCCAGAGATGACCTTCAAAAACATGCATAGGTGAGTGCAACATCTCTCACCAACCCTCAGGTTCTTTTCCAGGTCACATAGTTTGTTCAAAAACCCTCATTATTATCTTTTTACCCTTCCTTTCATAAGACATAGGGCCAACCAACCCAACTTATGGATGTGACTGACCTGCCAATTTATATGACTAGGCCACACCAACTTATGGTGTCCCAGTCTGGTAACACAAATATACGTACACATAAGACCAAACCACACCAACTTATGGTGTGACCAGTTTCTGCAAAACGATCGACATAAGGCGTATGACCGGCCGCACCAACTTATGGTGAGGCTGGTCAGCCTGAACGTTCGACATACACATAGAACTGAACCTCCTCAACTTATGAGGGGTCAGCCTCTGCCTAAACAACAACAAAAGGCATATGACCAAACACAACAACTTATGTTGTGCCTGACCAACCCATACAGTGACGTATAGCATAAGACCAGGCTACCCAACTTATGAGTAGTCTAGCCCCGCCCAAACAACAACAAGCGCGTATGACCGAATAGCCCGCAACTTATGCGTTCGCCCGGCCTCCGCAACACAACTACATCAATAGATAAGTTTCACAATCAGATTCTATCTTCAGACGAGTGCCCAGGTCACCTCAACTCATGAGGATCCCCACCCAAACGTCAGATATGTTTAGAAAAGGAAAATAGCCAGACTTTATATATCTCTCTGCTTTCGTGTTATCAAGGACATAGGACCAACTACCTAACTTATGGGTGAGTCAGCCTGCCCACAATTACCCCACCATTTTGTATTGTTCATCTTCTTTTCCTCTACTTTGTCTGCTACCGGCTTATATGGTTGAATCTCCCAACTCATGGCATCCAGCCTGCCATGAATATACATAATAAATATGTATCACTTTGTATACTCTGATTCTCTTAGTGATGGCGGCTCATGACTTGGTGTCAATAGTCTCGCCTGGAACAATAAAGCATAAGACTGAGCCACACCAACTTATGGTGTGGTCAGCTTCTGCCTTGACAATTGACGTAAGGCGTATGACCGGGTCCCACCAACTTATGGTGAGACTGACCAGCCTAAACTTTCGGCATACGCAAAGAACTGGACTACCTCAACTTATGAAGAACCCAGCCTTTGCCTGAACAAACGACAAAAGGCATATGACCAGGCACAACAACTTATGTTGTGCCAAGCCAGCCCATACAATTACATACAGCGTAGAACTAGGCTACCCAACTTATGGGTAGTCTAGCTTGCCAAATAACAAGTAAAACAAGTGCAAAAGACTGAGCAGCCCGCAACTTATGCGTTCGCCCAGCCTCCGCAACATATTTGACAGCTTTGTGTTTTCTGACTTCACACTGATAATCTTGATAAAACCAATACATATTTGTCAATTTACTTTGCAAATCATTGTCCTGAATTCAAACAAGCAAGGTAATACAGTTATCTTTTCCAGTCATACTTACAGTTAGGTCAATAGCAATAGGATAATATGGTTTAATGATAGGATCACACGCATAAATCGAGGGTTATACCTGAGTGTTCCCTGCCTTCAGAACCCCGCCTGGGCTCCGGCAGAGCTCCCGCAATCGGTGGGGCAACCTCCCACAGAGGCCTTGGCGCGGACCTACGGGTTGCAATCCCGCCTGCCGCCTTCCTCTCGTAACCAAAGGACCAGACTTAGAATAAGAAAGGCAAAAAGATAAGAGTTTAGACACTCAGATCCAAGAGGGGTGCTCTCAGACTCGCAGGAGAGGGCCTTGAAGCCTTCAGCGCCTGAGGGCCCCACAATGGTGGCCAATAGAACGCAGTAGAACTCCTTCGTCCACCGCCAAATGCAGGATGCCTACTTTCTCTGACGATCCTCGAATCAGCAGCAACGAGCCCTCCTTCCAAGCGTCCAATTCACAGCAATGGCCCCTTTTCAAGCCTAACCAGCCTTTGCGCTGCCACTCCTCTCCCAGAACATGGATTGTTGACTAGGCTACGCAGGACTGCAATCTGGAGACTTCATACGGACTGTCTCGTAGGATTACCATAGACTGTCGAAAGTGAAGAAAAAAGTAAAATAATGTTTTTTTTTAAGTTGACGGCCATAACCCCAAAGTCGGCGCGTTCAGTTGTGTCCTTATTTAAACACGTTGACAAAATACAAAAAATTAACAACATGACAAACACGTACACAAAGAAATGAAAGAAAACGAAAAAACTAGGAGTTGAAGTTCGTACAAGATCTTGAAGAAGAAGACAAAGATGAAGAAGAAGAAGAGGAAAGAGAGTTGAGGAGAAGGGAAGAACACGGACGACCCTAAACCCTAAACAACGATGATGAGCACTACGTACTCATCATCATCGTCATCATCATCATCTCTCTCTCTCTTTCTCTCTCTCTCTCTCTCTCTCTCTCTCTCTCTCTCTCTCTCTCTCTCTCTCTCTCTCTCTCTCTCTCTCTCTC